CTTGCAGTGACCCTCTGAGTTAGATATTATCACTGAAGAAGCTGAGATTCTGATAAAAGGATTTGTACTAATTCAAAGGGTTATTAAATGACAGAGGTGGGATTCACCCTTAGATCTTTTTACTTCAAATTTTGTTTTTTAACAACCAATCCCAAATGCTTTTTTCTAAAAACTAAGTCACAAAAGCACAGAAAAATAAATCTCTATTGGTAGAATATCAAGTATTAGTGAAAAGATTGTAATAGAGAGACATCAGCACTACAGAACCAGCAGCCTTCTCCAGCCTTGAGTTTCTTCAGACCTAGAGAAAAAGGTTTCAGACTTGAGCATTCTTTCACTACTGAATGAGTCATGAATGTTTTGAAAATATTTTAACTGTTAAGGTATAAAATTCATATGTGATATATTTCCTCTAGGATTCATAACCCGTTTATATCAACAAAAATATCAGAATTTATAATCCTTCAAGTTTTGTCCATTTACTGATTTCTATATATGAATTAGATAAAATGATGAATAAAGTACAAATTACTTTCCTGGTCACAAAGAAATATCTGCACTTACCTTGAAAATGATCCATTTGAAAAGTTCCCTTTTTTACACAAGTAATAGTTTGAATGAACAGCAGAATATTGTTCCAAAATAAAAAACCAGTAAATCCAAAAAAGTATAATGACCTGTTTCCAGGGTTAAGTTCTCAAAGTGCCGGTCTAAAGCAATGAACTAGGAAAAAAGCTGTATTTTGCTTTATACATGACAGCTCCGTAGCACAATGTCCAGCACACATGCAATAAGTGTTCAGGGAAAAAGTCTCGGTTCCCATTTTATTTCTGCCTTTCAGTAATTAAAGCTCTAGTCTGCTCCAGGAAGTTTATTTGGATATGCAGGTCAATTGGGCCTAAAAAAAAAAAAAATTATTCCAAACTAACTTGCTGATATTTTTGTAAATGTTTTCATCAACATAATGTGTTGGTATTTCTGTATATTTTATCCTGTTATCCTCCTGAAATGAAACCT